CTTGAAGACAGTCAACGACTGCCTTAGCCACACTCTAGGGAAGAGTTTCAAAGAGTCAACTGAAAATATTTCTCATCTCCATCTTAAATGGGTTATTTCTAGACTGCACCCCACCCTTAGTGCCAGTTGTTCCCAAAAAGGGAAACAAGAGCATTCACTGTCAATTCCCTTCAGGGTCTTATGTCTCAATGATTCGTGTTTCTTGCAACTCTGATGTAAATGGACTTTTGTAACAGCTAAAAGAACGTAGTTCACACCTCATTAGTGACATCTTCTCTGTTGCAAGTAAAACATTTGCTCAACTTCATAAAACAGACAAGGTTGTCGAGGAAACTCAGTTAACAACACATCCGTGTACTAACATGCTACCCAACAAAATACAGCTTCGCATTCTATTGTCCAAAGTGATGGAGGCTGGTGCCAAGCAGAGCAAGGATAACCTTTACTTTTTTTTAAAAAAGCTAACAGAGGTCATAATTTCCATATAATTCTTAGATGGTGTTAGGTTTCTCGCTCGTTGTCAGAGACAGCACTCATCCATGTGGAACGTGTTCCATCACACTCCGAATTTGTGCCATGCAAGTAATAGAGAGAGACTTTGGAGAGTCAGGGTGTGAGCCAGTGGCAACAGTAACCACAACATTTATGTGGCTGGTTCGGTTCTGTCCTTGGTCAATCAATATTGATGGTTAGAGACTCGGGTGGTAAACGTTATTGAGCATTGAGAGAGGACAGTAGTTTTGTTCTCTTGGTGGACAACACCAATGCTTCACATTCAGATGGTACAAAATGTTCCTTAAAACGTATCAGACCAGGTCTGAGTTTTATCTAAGGCTTACAGCACACAAACTACATTACTTCATTACCAAGGAGCATGCGTGTTGAACCCTATGTAATCAACATCCCCATTTATGAATTGAGATTAGAAGAAAGTCATTGATGTCAAAAGTTAAGCTAATTGGGCCCTGGGGGCTGTTCTAATGAAGCTTCGACGCAGCGATGATTGGCCCCTACTGAAAAGCATAGTCTTCCTTTGTGTTAACACAGTGTGGAGTAGATTTCTGAAGAAGAGTCCCCACCCAAAATGTCAGCTTTCCTGCTCCTCTGATGCTGCCTGGCCTGCTGACTCCAGCATCGGCAGTTCTTACTATCTCTTCCTTTGTGCTTGTGCTTACCCACCTCCTACCAAGACACCATGAGTTTTACAAGAATTTCTTGGTGCAGTACTGAGCCAAAAGGTGGTTTTGCTGTACGATTTATAGCAGAAGTAAAAATCATGTTGTACAAAAATACCCAAGATAATGAATATATTAGTTTGACGTGTTGGAACAAAAATCTCCCATTTGCCTGAAATCCACACATGCCCATTTTCCAGCAGGATACATACAGTCATACAGCACAGAAACAGACCCTTTAGTCATTGCACAGAGTATAGGAGCTGGGACGTCATGTTGCGGCTATACAGGACATTGGTGAGGCCACTTTTAGAATACTGCGTACAATTCTAGTTTGCCTTCAATAGGAAGGAGGTTGTTAAATTTGAGGATGCAGAAAAGATTGTCAATGATGTTGGCAGGTTGGAGGGTTTGAGCGATATGGAGAAGCTGAAGAGGCTGGTACTTTTCCCCCCCCAACCCCCAAGTATCAGAGCCTAAGGGATGACCTTAAAGAAGTGTACAAAATCATGAGGGGCATGGACAGCGTGAATAGCCAAGGCATTTTTCCTAGTGTAGGGGAGTCCAAAATTAGAGGGCATAGGTTTAAAGTCAGAGGGGAATGATTTTAAGAACCTGACAGACAACTTTTTCCAAACAGAGGGTGGTGCATGTATGGAACGAGCTGCCAGAGGAAGCGGTGGAGGTGGGTACAATTACAACATTTAAAAGGCATCTGGATAGATATACGAATAGGAAGGGTTGAAAGGATTATGGGCCAAATGGGACGAGGTCAAATTGGGACGTCTAGTAAGATACTCATCTTCACTAAAATGCTGGCTGATTATTCCTAGCCTTGGTTTGGCGGTACTGAAACCCAACAACATTCATAGAAAAAGCCACAGGCTATTCAGCACTGAGTCTGCTCCAACATTCAATAAGAATATGACTGTTCCATCTGTGATCTCAAGTCTACTTTCCTATCTGCCCCTATAATCCTTGATACAGCTGACTATATTGGGAATAAATTTAATGACCCAGCTTTCACTGCTTCCAAAAAGGTAGAAAATTCAACTTACTAAAAACAAAAAAAAAATAAAAAGGAAAGATTTCTTTTTCTTAACCGACATCCTTTAATTTCAGTCTCCCCTCAATTCATCCTAAACAGTCTCAAGATTTTATATATTTCAATATCATCATCTCAGGCTCCTAAACTTTCATAGGTCTGAAGTATTCAATCTTTCTTCGTAAAACAAGCCTTTTTGGCCAGGAGCAATTTTCAAAGCAGTTCAAACAAAGGAGACCAAAACTACGCACAGTACTCCAAGTGTGGTCTATTGAGCTGTACTAAAACTTCCCTACCTACTAAACATTGACTCCATCCAGCACCAGCACACTTGCTGCAGTGTGCACCATTCACAAGCTGCTCTATAGCAACTCAAAAGTTATTCCACATGACCGTCCCAACTCTCAATCTTTACCACCAAAGAGAACGCAGACAGCAAGTGCACCGGGGTACCACCAGATCCACATTTCACTCCACTCCCACAGAGTGGCATGTCATCCTGGATTCAGAATTGGCTGACCTTTAGAAAATGAAGGGTGGAAGCGGACGGAAAATATTCAACATGGTGCTCAGTTACAAGTGGTGTACCACAACAATCTGTTCTGGATGCTCTTCTATTTGTGATTTTTGTAAGTGATTTGGATGTAGGAGGGGAAGGGCGGATTAGTAAGTTCGCGGATGATATGAAGGTGGGTCAAGTTGTGGATAGTACGGAGGGCTGTGCTAGGTTACAAAGGGACATTGGCAGGATGCAGAGCTGGGCTGACAAGTGGCAGATGAAGTTTAACCCTGAAAAGTGTGCGGTGATTCATTTTGGAAGGACAAATGTGAAAGCAGAAAACAGGGTTAACGGAAAGATTCTTGGCAGTGTGGAGGAGCAGAGGGATCTTGGGGTTCATGTCCACAGTACCCTGAAAGCTGCCTCCCAGATGGCTAGAGTTGTTAAGAAAGTGTATGATGTGTTAGCTTTCATAACTAGAAGAACTGAGTTCAAGAGCCGTGAAGTTATGCTCCAGCTATACGAAAGCCTGGTTCGGCCATATCTGGAGTATTGTGTCCAGTTCTGGTTGCCTCATTACAGGAAAGATGTGGAAGCATTGGAAAAGGGGCAGACGAGATTTACCAGGATGTTGCCTGGAATGGAGGGAAGGTCTTACGAGGGAAGGTCTTACGAGGAAAGGTTGAGAGAGCAAGGGCTTTTCTCTTTAGAACGACTGAGGATGAGAGGTGACTTGATAGAGGTATACAAAATGATCAGAGGTATAGATACAGTGGACAGCCAGAGACTTTTTCCCTAGGGTGGAGGTAGCTATTACAAGGGGGCATAGTTTTAAAGTGAGTGGAGGTAGATATAGGGGAGACGTCAGAGGTAGGTTCTTTATTCAGAGTGTGGTCGGGACGTGGAACGCATTGCCAGAGGGTAGTGGAGTCAGCCTCATTAGGGGCATTTAAGCAGCAATTAGACCTGCATATGGATGCTAGTATAAGGTAGGGGTGGAGGTTAGATAGACCTTAGGTTTAGGGTAAAAGTTCAGCACAACATCGTGGGCCGAAGGGCCTGTACTGTGCTGTGCTGTGCTGTGCTGTACTGTACTATGTTCTATGTTCTATGTTCTATGTTCTATCCTGGTTTGGAAATATACTGTCACTCTTTCATTACAGCGAAAGCCTGGAATTTCCTATCTAACTGTGGGAATATCTTCACCACATACTGCAGCTGTTCAAATAAACACCTTGCCACCACTTTCTCCAGGACAGTTACAGATAGGCAATAAATGTCGGCCTCACCATTGCATGAATGATGGAAAACAAACCATGGAACTACTGTACTTGGAAGAAATGTAGTCAATATTAATTTATTATTCAATATCATTAAATCATATTATCTGGCCATTATAATCATTTCTCTTATCCTGTTTTATAACTTAAACATGACTGCACTTCAAAAGTACTTCATCGACTGTGAAACTTCGAGTCATCCAGAAGCCTTTCATTATGGTTCGCAGAAATCATTTGTTTTGTAAAAACCAAAAGGAGGGCAAGTAAGTTTTCTTTCGAAATAAAACTGGACCTTAATAAAAGTTATGATGAATTACTTCCACTATTTTAAAGTCCAGCTTTGAAAAAAAATTGAGGAAATATTCAACACAAGGAATGGTGCGTTAAAATATCCGATAAACTGCAAGTTAAAATTCGAACCGCTATATAAACTATAGCTCAATAAATCACGTTGAAATGCAATGCCAAACAATTAAAATAAAGGCTTTGGGACTTCTACTGAAAATGATCTCCAATCTTTCAAGAGGGGAAGGTGTAGGTAAGGCTGATCGAGATTCAACAGTGACTTTTGCGGGGGTTGGTTAGTTGGAAGGTAAAGAAAGCAGGCCGGCCGGCCTTGGCGCCAAAGCTCACAGTGAAGCAGTCCTCCCTCATAACAGCAAAATACTGAAAGGGTACGGCACAGACACGCCAACCCGTCCAGCACGCACCGCCGCCGTGTGGCACCGCAAATAATATATAGATGCACGCACCTATTTTCACGACTTTTAACAATTTCTTTAAACAGTTTTGTTTTAAGTGAAAAGATACCTCGTGATGGGAAATAAAACGAGGGGAGGAGGCTGGTCCACCGCTTTGCATTCAAAACAGAGGCAGATGCAGCACCAGGACGGAAGGGCCGATAGACCGACCGCGGCCTCGAGTGAAAGACCTTACCCCTCCCCGCCCCCGACAATAACATACACAAAGAGAAACAGGGTCAAAGCCCAGGCCTCACTCACCGATTGCTCCGGCTTGAAACCGGCCAGGCCACCAGACGCGGTGATCCGCCGCTCCATCAGGGGGCCCCCAGCCCCTCGGCCTTGAAGCTGTGAATGGGAAAAGGGGAAGACTCGCCTATTATGCGGCTTGGGCGACGTCGCCGCTTTTCTCTCACCGCCTGCTGTTGACAGAAGCCACTGAGCATGCGCCGGGCCCGGCACTACATCGCGAGGCATTGTGGGATGATTGAGCGGCCAACCGTCAACTGGGCCATTTATCCAAGAGAAGGCAGCAAAGGGGAGGCTTTGAACTGTTTGAGCGATTTGCATTCACCTGAAAGCTTTCCTTTATTTTTTTTTAAATTTTTGCGTGTGTGTTTGTTAACTAGGTTTCATTTTCTTTGCGGGCTTATTTCTTATCGCTTCATGCTGCATTCAGAATTTAGGGTTGCCACCCCTCCTGGGTTATTCTAGAACCTCTTGCAGAAATTAAGGACTAATCTCCCGGACAAAGCTGAAAGTCTACTCCAGTAGAATCACAGGAACATTAAAGAGTGTATTCTTAAATTTCTTCACAGAATGTGGGCATCAATGGCTGGGTCAGCATTTGTTGCCCTTACTTAATCCCAGTTGAGTCAGCCACATTGCTGTGGTTCTGGAGTCAACATGTAGGCCAGTCCAGGTAAGGGTGGCAATGTTCCTTCACTGAATGACGTTGGAGGAAGAGCAATTAAAGTTGGAAACTCTCAACAGGTCAGAATTAGAGGCTTTTGGGCTAGAGGATGTTAAGAAGTATGGAGGATTTTGAACATGCAGTAATTTAAAAACAAGGATAAGAATTTGAAATCATGGCATTGCTTCACAGGAGACCATGTGAGCACAGGGCTGTAAACAATGACAAAGGCAGCAGGGTTTTGGATGGCCTCAAGTTTACAGAAGATATAATGTGACAGGCTGATCAGGAGTATGTATGTTATCAGGTCTAAAGGTAACAAAGGTATGAATGAGGGTTTGAACAGTGGTGAGCTGAAGTGGGAAGGAATCAGGTGATGTAACAGTGGTGGAAATAGGGAGTTTTAATAATCATGCGTTTATAGCTTCCAATCTTTCACAATTCAAAGTCAGAGGTCATATAAAACTCTGCTATCTGCATCCTATCTTGTACCAAGTACTGTGCACCAATCTTGGGCTTTTGACTTAAATTTTCCTACAAGTCACATACCAAGGAACAAAGTACAGAAATAGGGAGGCCTAGTTAAAACTGTCGGTACACCATAGGGCTGTACTCTTATTAGAGAGAGAGATGTCTGGTGGTGGTTTAACCTGAGGGTTATCATGCCTAAGGAAAAGGGAGAGGTTGAGAAGGCGAATCCTTGGTAACCTCAGCTGGTGTGCGAATGGAACCCATCACTCTGCATTGCAAACTGTCTATCCAGCTAACTGACCCCCAGTTAAAAATTATAAGGCACTAGTCAGACCACATGTGGAATACTGAATCAATTAGAAACATAGAAAATGCAGTTTTAGACCCCTTATCTAAGGAAAGGTACACTAAGGAAAGCAATAGGAGGTAGTCCAGTGAAGGTTCACTAGGTTGACTGTGGGTATGGAGGGATTTCTCTTATGAAGAGGAGTTGAGTCAGTTGGCCCTGTACTCATTAAAGTTTAGGATAATGAGAGGAGATCTTATTGAAACATAAGATTATTAGGGGGCTTGGCAGGGTACTTGTGGAGAAATTGTTTCCCATTGTAGAAGAGTCTAGGACCAGAGGGCATAATCTCAGAATAAGGGGTTGCTCATTAAACTCAGATGAAGAGGATTTTCTGTCGAAGTGTAGTCACTCTGTGGAATTCTTTACCACAGATAACTTTCAAGGTTTTGTCAATGAGTTTATTCAAGGCTGAGTTAGACATATTTTTAATTAGTATGAGAATCATGGATTATGCGGATAAGGCTGGAAACTGGATGAGGTTGTTGGCTTGCTTGCTGAGCTGGCTGGTTATTATACAGATGTTTCGTCACCATGTTAGGTAACATCATCAGTGTGGCCTCTGATGAAGCGATGTTGTTCTACTCCGCTTGGTATTTATTTGATCCGGTCCGTTAAGTTGGGTTGTGTCATTTCCGGTTCCGTTCTGCATGGATTTATATGTGGGATCTAATTCCACACGTTTTTTGATTGCATTACGGGTTGAAAACCATTGCTCTAGCAATTCCCGTGCGTGTCTGTAGTTGGCTTGATCTAAGATGGTCACATTGTCCAGGAAAGTGGAGTTGAGGATTATCAGATCAGCCACAATCTTACTTAATGGTGGAGCAGATGTAATGAGCTGAATAGCCTATTTCTGCTCCGACATGTTATAGTCGATTTCACAAATACAAAATTATTAGACAGCAAATGAAAATTTGACCTATTGACTTCCATCACTGACACAGTAAACCATTTTTTAATATCTGTAATTCAGAAGTTACAATGGTAGTGCAATTGGATTGATCACACCACACAATACAGGAAAAATTGTTTGTCTGAAGAGAAAACACAATACGTTGATAATGCAAAAATTCAACTGTAGACTGCTAATGGAGTCTCACTGGGACAAAATATAAAATGACTGATGCTTTTGAAAAGTTGGCAATTTCCCCAAAGATCCTACTTTCCTCTACCCCAATTGCACAAGGAAAATTTATAAAATCCTGGTGTCATTTTTTAAATTTGCTCCATAACCAGTCTTTTAGGAGAAGCAAGATAATTATGTCCTAAATTTCCTCAAGTTTTTGTACAAACATCTGATCCACAAACACTATCTTTCAGTCAACCTCATCCTATGGTCAAGTCTGGCGTGACATTTCCAACTGTTCAGCCAAAAAAGGACCAATTGCATTCTACAAGAAAGCTACTTTTCTGGAGAATGTATCTGCCATCTGCATTCTGTGTAATACTAACCTTCAATAAGAACTTAATAGCTGCATTTTGTTTATATTTATAACTGGTAGTAAACTTCACATTGAAAGATCATGTTTTTAATTTCCATGCCTAACCAGACCTACCACAGCACACTGACTTCCACTCCTCATGTGCCTGCTGTGCACACATCCGACCCAGTAACAGCCCATCTGACAACATCCCATCCCTTAACAAATTCCTTCTATTTTCTTTGTTCTCAAAATTACTTCCAGCTGGCATTGTCTCTTTCTTGTTCTGCTACCAAATACATCATCCATAAAATGACAGCAAATGGCTGATGTCAACATGTATCTCTCAGCTGTTCTCCCAAATGGCTAGAAATTTTTGGTCATGTGGGATTTCACATCAACAACCCATTTGCAACTGTAGGTCACTTGAGACAGACTCTTGAGTGTTCGTCCTTGTGCCAATGATGTTTGATGATGTGAAAATAATGCTCACATGCTGTAGAAATAATACAAAGATATCCAAGTGTAGAACTTAAAATGATCTGAATGGCAAATCAGTACAAAAACAAAACCTCCACCACTGATAACCTAAATTAGGAATCTGATCTAGATGGATTCAAGAACCAAGGGTTGCAACCTCTAGTATTGACTTATGCTGCAAATGGTATATGCAGATCAGCAAAATAAAATCACAGAAAACCATGATGCTCCACTATAGAGAGGATTCTGTCTATGTTATTGCATTTTCAAAAATGGTGGAAGCAATCAGATATGAGCAAGAAAGATTAAATCTGATGTGTTAAAGCAAAAAAAATCAGGAAAATACAATGTATTTTTAAAATTACAAATGAAAATCACCAGATTATAGAAATCCTTGAATTGGGAAAGAAAATGGAGAAATATTAACAAGGCAGAAAACAAACTCTGAAAATTCACATATAATCTATCACATTTCCCTTATGTGGATACTAAACTTAATCACAGCTCAGGAAAGATTATTTGGCCTATGGTTTCCTGTCTTATACATTATAAGTATAGAAACATACAAAATAGGAGCAGAATTAGGCTATTTTGCCCTTAAAGCCTACTCCATTTTCAGTATAATCATGGCTAATAGTCAAAACACCATACCTTGTTCCCACTTTCTCCTTATACCCTTTGATCCCTTTAGCCCTGAGAACTATATCTGGAAACTGAAAACAATTCAATGTTTTGGCCTCAATCACTTTTTCTGGCAGAAAATTCTAGAGGTTCACCACTGTCTGAGTGAAGAAAATTCTCCTTGTCTCAGTCCTAAATGGCCTACCTTATATCCTGAGACTGTGATCCCTGGTTCTGGACTCCCTGGACACCATGAACATCCTGTGTTTACCTTGTCTTGTCCTGTTACAATTTTACATGTTTCTATGAGACCCCTCTCGTTCTTCTAAACTCCAGTGACTGTAGTCCTAACCAATTCAGTCTCTCTTCATACATCAGTCTTACCATCCCTGGAATCAGTCTGGTAAACCTTCATTGCACTGCCTCCCTAGCCAGAACTTCCTTCCTCGGATAATGAGACCAAAACAACACAATACTCTAGGTGTGGGCTCATCAAGGGTCTTGTACAATTGCAACTAGACATCTATGCTCCTTTACTCAAATCATCTCACTATGAAGATCAATATACAATTTGCCTTCTTCACTGCCTGCTGCACCTACGTGCTTATTTTCAGTGACTGGCGTACAAGGGCATCCAGATCTGTTGCACCTCCTCCTTTCCCCAAACTATTGCCGTTCTGATAATAATCAGCCTTGCTATTTTTATTACCAAAGCTGAGAACTTCACAGTTATTCACGTTATACTTCACATGCTTTGCATTTGCACTGAGGCATCTCTGCATCGTCCTCACAGTTCACCCTTCCACCTAGCTCCGTGACATTGCAAATTTGGAGATATTACATTTAATTCCCTCATCTAAATTGTTAATATATCTTGTGAATATTTGGGGCCCAAACATTGACCACTGTGGTACCCCACTGGATGCTGCTCAGAAAATGACTCATTTGTTCCTACTCTTTGTTTACTGTCTACCAGCCAGTTCTGTATCCGTTTCAGTACACTAACCCCAAACCTATGCACTTTAATTTTACATGCTAATCTCTGATATGGGACCTTATCAAAAGCCTTCTGAAAGTCCAAGTAAACACATCCATCGGTTCCCCCCTAATCAACTCTAGTAATTACATCCTTTCAAAATTCCAATAAATTTATCAAGAATGATTTCCCCATTGTAGATCCATGCTAACTCTGTTCAACC